TCGAACGCATCAGCGTTTCCATCCTGGCATAATATTCCCTTTGTTCCATCTTGCTTTCGTGCATCAGGTTTACTTGGGTTCTTGTAAGTTCTAACACTGTGTTAAAGTCGTTCGTCTTTCCTACTATACTTGGGGAGGATGCAACATCTTTCGCCGTTGATGGTCCTTCGCTTAGATCGGAGAGAGGTCTTTTAGCTGCCACTTGCTCCAGGTAGGTGACAGGGCCGAGTACAAAACCCATTTTTTCAAGCTTATCCTAGAGGGCAAGTAATTTTGTTTTTGTTCGAGCTACTTCGGTGGAATCCCCATCTTTAGCGTGGTCTTTCCCTTCGAGGAAGCTAGTGGTGAATTTTCGTTTCATTTATTTGGTCGCGTCCATGATTTGTTGCATAGTGTGAGTGATGGGGGAAAACTGTTTTCGCAGCTTCGCCCAGATCGCGCGGTTTCTAAGTCCGTCAATGAAAACGTCCCTACCAACATTCTCATTGCGTTCGGATTTTACGAACAATCTATAGAATCGACTGTGATATTCCGCAATGGACTCGAGGGTTTTTTTATTCTTAATTATGAATTAGGTTTGTTCCAGATGAATGTAATCAAACTCATGTAAAAAGTTCATTTCGAATGTCGGGAGATCAATCCACACTTTAGTACTGAACCATTGGTGCGTATTCCCAGACGGGTGGGGATATTGTTCCTGGCTTTATCGTTGTCGTACTGTTGTGCTCAGAGCTCGACGAGCTGCACTGCCACCATGTGATGTGCAGGGTCGAAAAGATACAAATCAGGCGGGGCAACAAGTGCACAAACACGTACAGGTTACGGGGGTACGGACCTCACTTGACTCGCCCCTCCTTGTGTCGGGTTAGCGTTAGGTGGGGGATTAACATTCATGTTGGCCGCCTCGTCTGGGGCTCGCCAGATTAGTCGGGCTATGGGGATGGACCACTTGGGAGTCCTTGGTCTTGACTCATGTCGGCTCCGATACCAGCCGCACGCCCGACGCGACTTCTTGTTTCGGAGCGAGAGCGGGTCCGGAAGTGCGTAAAAGGGGTGTGCCAAGGATTTTAGGAAAATGGGGTGGAGTCCGAGGTCAAAACCGAGATCTCAAGTGTCAAGTTTTAAGGACAAACGTGCAAGTGGTTCAGCGAAGGGAAGGTTTTTTGATCTACGCTTCCCGAGCCGGGCAGCTAATTTCGTCGTCCTTGTCGCCTGGAGCGGGCTCGGATTTTGTGTACAAGGGGAACGCAATGGTTGTCCTTCTGTTCCAACACCTGTCGTCTCACAGACCTCGGAATCTAACGTGGACGACCTCAGCCATAGGTTGTGTTCTCTGTGCTCAGCTTCGAAACGGGTTCGTTGGACAAATCTCGCGGCCCGATAGGTGTAATACCGCCGACACTCAGAGCACGACCTTCGAGGCCAGTAGGGGGCTATCACATTGTAGGGGACGACCGTTAGATTATGGTAGGAAAGAGGGAGATAGAAGGGAGAGAAACTGGTTTTGATGGCGATGAATCCTGGTTCCGCGTAGGCCTGGTGGTTATGGATGTTGGGGTAATCCAGGATTCGGGGATTTTGTCCTCTGGCCTGTCGAAAGTCCCATGCACAAAGTCGATCGTTCTTAGTTTGGCATGGAAATACATGAAGCGTCAATCTCGATCGAGAGAGATGTTCGTTTTTTCTGTACCTTCGGTACTCGCGGTCCCTCAGACAGTCGCATTCAGTGATCCAAAATGGAATGTCGATGTTCATGTCTCGTGAGGAAGTTTTAATTCATACATCTGTGCATTCGCAACGCAGCCTGTTTGAAGATGGATCATGTAGACGCGAGTATACGTGATGACCATCTTGTTACTTGGGTCATTCGTACATAGGCGTGCACAGGATCTGTCTTCGACAAGGTTTAAGACAACTCGTTATGCATGCATCTAGTATACTCTTGATCTATTCAGGAAGACGATATATACATACTTAATTCAAATTAGACAATCAAAGTGACATATGCAAACAGACGGGTGCCTAAAAGGAAAAGAAAAGGAACAATTTATCTTACATCAAACAACACGACGTGTGAACCATACATGCAATAATCGCCTGACTTAGCAATCAACGATATCCATGCTATTGAAACAATCAAACAATTGATCAAAACTGCAACCGCCCTACATCCCGGATTTATCAAAAAGAAAGAGGGGGGGGAGAAATAGATAATTCACAGATCAATTGAAGAAAATAAAATATGAGATTGCCGCAACGAAGATGACCAATACCAAAATCAAGTGTCACAGTCCTTTGCGGCCACGTGTCAAACCCGCACAAATTAGCATCAGTTCGTCAAATCGCCCAACTCCCAACTCACCATCCTGTTTCCGCTCGTTAGTCGATCCTCTCGACCGTGCTAACTCCAAAGTGTAGATTAGAGAGCGATTTAGTCGCGCTTGCAGACTTTATAACACTCATTATTTACTCAAGACAATCTCGGATTACGCTGAAGCAGAAGGAAGAGAGAAGAAAGGAGTACCTACAATTGCATGATCGAGTCGCGGTGTGGAGGACGTAGCCACTCTCCACGCATCGATCCAGCCATGCCTTTTTTCGACCAATGAGATGGACAGAACAAGGGAGCATGTTTTAGCGCTGAAAGCAATCAAGAAGGAGAAGATTAAAGTTACACCCACACTCGCCAAGGAGGAGCAAGAAGAGATTACAGTTGCGATTAGAATTAAGGCGTGGCGGGAACAAAGCATAGGACAAGGCGCAGCAAAGCGCGCGCGAGTAAGGAGCATCGTGCAGTTACAGTAACAAAAATCCGCGACAAAATTTTGATGCACCAATTCCTAGTCTAATTAAAGTCCTAATTCCTATTACTCCCATATTTCAAAATTCAAAAAGATTTTCCCGCGCGATAATTGCGCCAAAATTCCCTTCCCCATTTCCAGCAGAACAAGATAGAAGCTACAACGAACAATTATTTCCGCGCTCCCTAAGGCGCGTTGTCACCAACTGCCATGGGACCAAGTTTTCTAAAAAAGGATGGGTGTACTTGTGCAATTGAGTCGGACCCTCCCCTCCAGCCTCCAAAACACAGTCGTGCAGAAAGTCGCTATTGCAGAAAGAAATTTGTCACAGGGGCACATTTTCCTCATTTTTGTTTTGACATAATGGAACCAAAACCCGTCAAAATACATTCCCGTCCTCCACCTGCCCACAACATTTTGCGACAACATGTGGAAAAGGGCCGAAACCTTCGGCCCTATGGGATGCAGAAAAACTTTCAGGGGCCCCCCGGCCCGGGCCTTCGTTCTTAGTCCCAAGTCGGATCAGACCCTAAATAATCTCCCGCCGTCAGCAGCTCCTTTGCCACCTCCTCCCAGCAGGTCCTCTCTCTCTCTCTCTCTCTCTCTCTCTCTCACACACACACACACACACAGGTTCTGTCAAATTTGCGTGAAAGAGTGTGGTCTCAGCGTGGTTGGCATTTCCATATGTGTTCCTTCGGCCCACCACTCCTGTCTTGCCAGTGGTACCCCCAGGAGCGCACATCTCACCGACATGAGCGTGTAGTCTACCGAGGACGAGTGGGCCACACGTCACTCCCCCCCATCTGCCCACCTCTCTGGCCTCAACACGGCATACAACACCTTTCATTCTACACGGACGCGTTTGAAGTGGTGTATCGGCCTTCGCACGCCGGATGTGCGACACCCGTTCCCAACGTCTCCTTGGGCCCGTTCTCTTTTTCTCACTCTCCTCTGCACAGACACAAATGGCACATTCGCTATCGTGCTGGAGCACGGCTAGCAGATCTCGGTACCTCACGGCATACTCACACCAGGGATTTCGTGGATGTATCTACCGTCTTTATGGCCAAGTTAACTGGGTGTTGACATTAATCTCTCTCTCTCTCTCTCTCTCTCTCTCTCTCTCTCTCTCTCTCTCGCTCTCGCTCTACCGCGCGCGCGCGCGCGCTCATAGATATAGTCTTTTGTGTGTCTCTGCAGCGCTTCTCCCTCTCGGATTGGCCAAGGTGGGGTGAGCTGGGCGGGGCGGGCTTGTGGCAGATTGTCGGCCGGTGGCGCAGTGCCGACGAAGGGGCCGGGAAATGGAGATTGTGCGCTCGTTTACCGATACTTGAGGAAGCCGCACGATAGCAATCGGCAAAGCAGCCGCTTAGCAGCGTTCTGTTTGTTGACCTTGATCTTCAGAATGTTTTTGCATCTGCCTTCGATATCCACAAACCAAAAACATCCACGCACCGAAAGTACCAAAAGGCGGGGCAACCCCTTGCGTGGGACTGCGGACTCCCTCTCTCTCGTCGGCGAAGCGCTCTACTTCTATTCCATGCACCTGCCTATCTTAGGCAGCAATAAGCTTTGGTAAGAGTTGCGTGTAGCCAAGCCGTGGCGCAACGGCGGCTTTCTATCTTTCGGACGATGCATGATATGAGAGGTGAATACTACCTACCTATACCTAAGGTAGGGTGAAATGGTTCGAGCGCCTGCCTCCTCCCTCGCATCACAATGTCCTACCTCCCTATGGGTCTCTCCCCGTCAGCTAAACGTCCTCCTTTGTCTCTAAATTGTCTGTCTATCCTCGTCCGTCGTCCTCTAGGACACCCGCCGCTGGCGCGCTGTACGGTATCCCTGTTTCAGTATTATCCGAGTTTGAACGCGTACTTCGCCTCAAATCCTCTCCGCACATCGTTAGCGGGCCCTACCTGTAGCGCCGTGTATTCAGCCGCACAAGTTCTATTCCAGCTCCAATTATATAGGCGCTGTGCGTTGTCCGTCGCACAGACTATTTTGCGACGGTCGGCCGCACAGGCCGTCATACTTGGGAAAGTTGGGATCATTCCGCCCGCCCTTCGTCGCTCACCAAGGGGTCTCTTTGCCATGGTTGCTGCTAAGCTGTTCCATCGGGGGGGGGGGGGGGGTGTTGAGTAAGAGGCCGCCGTGGGCATGTCGGATGCCATTCGTCTTCCTCACTGTTCGCCGCGAGTGTACTGCTCTCTAGCTCGAAGCCGTCAATATCAGCACGGGCGGAGACGTGACGGCCACACTCTCTCCCTCTCCTCTCTCTGCGACTCGACGAAGCACCCTCCTTCTTGTCTATAGAGTTCAACAGCTCATTCGGTCGTTCCGTCCTGTCAATCTCCACCCGCTCCTCTCACTACCCTGTGTCAATTTTAGTTGACTTTACACGATCGCAAGAGCGAGCGCGCGCCCGCAGGGGAACAGAGCCGCATCCAGGGAGAGGGACCAAGCGCGCGCGTGCAGGTGTGCATGCTAGTTTTTATCACTGCGTGTATGCGAGCGACCGAGAGAGAGAGAGAGAGAGAGAGAGAGAGAGAGAGAGAGAGAGAGAGAGAGAGAGAGAGAGAGAGAGAGAGAGAGAGAGCAGGCGCAATGTTTGGATGAGCAGAGGAGAGATGCGAGAGAGACCGGCAACAGAGCAATACTACGGACGCCCTGCCCTTCGTTGAAGCGCCGGCTTCTTAAGGCACTGCCCCGACTTGTCAAGCTGTTTCTCTCCCACTTGCTGCCCTTTCAACGGATGTATCGAAGTCCATGCGCGTAGTAGCCACAGTCGTTGGATTGCATTCTTCCTCCTGCGTTGTGCTGTTCGTGCTATCCAATGTGGCACAACTTGTTGTCGGACTAAGACCAGTTGTAGCAGATTGTTAGTGGTGGTGGTTGGGAAAGAGAAAAGGGGTTGTAGCTTTAATTTGTTGTTGTTGTTGTTGTTGTTGTTGACGGAGATCTGCCTTGCGGACTGGTGTTCTATTATTAGCTCAAGGGCAGGCATTTTACTTCATCGCTGGTTTTCAGGCAAGTAAGCGGGAGGAGTAGAGGAGGAGGACGAGCGGAGAAGAACAGAGGAGGAGGAGGGGGAGGAAGAAGAATAAAAATAATAATAATAATAATAATAATAATAAGAAGAAGAAGAAGAAGAAGTGCAAGTAGAGAGTAGCGATGGACGCATACCTGGTATTGAAAGTGGACTCCAATGGTAACGCACATGATGCGAGCAGCAGCAGCTCAGCGCCAGGTGGTCGCTGGGATGTGAAGATGCTCGCATGCAAGGCGGCTTTAAAAGCCTATCGCAAGGCTGCCGAATTGTCCGTCGAAGATCACTTGAGGCTCGGAGACGCCTATCTGAACGGGATCGAGGTGCCAGCGGACGCAGGAGAGGCGTTCTTATGGTATCGACTGGCGGCGAAAAAGGGAAATGCTGAAGCACAATTCAAGTTGGGTCGGCTGTACGAGGCAGGCCGCGGCGTAGAGAAGGACAACTGCAAAGCGATGAAATGGTACGTTCGCGCTGCCGGGCAACAATACGTGGAGGCCATGTTTCATCTGGGTGTTTGCTACGAGAAGGGACTCGCAGGTGTGTCGGTGTGCAAAAGCGAAGCAATCTGCTGGTACAAGAGGGCTTCGGAGAAAGGTCACGCCCAGTCCGCCTTCGCCCTCTACCTTTTGTACGAAATGGGAGATGGCGTTGATCAGGACGTCGGCCAGTCGATCCAGTTCTTGCGACGGGCGGTCGAGCTTGGGCACACAGAGGCCCAGTACAGACTCGGGTGGGCTTACGAGCACGGGAAGGGGGTGGACATGAATAGGACGGAGGCAGTGGTGTGGTACAAGATCGCAGCGGAGGCGGGCCATGCCGAGGCTGCCACGTGTCTCGGGCTTTGCTACCAGCATGGCAAGGGCGTCCCCGAAGACAAAGTCCAGGCCGTGAAGTGGTACCGAAAGGCGGCACAGCAAGGGCATGCGGCAGCGCAAACGAACCTCGGCTTCTGCTACGAAAACGGGGAGGGCGTGGAGGTTAATCTGGTGCAGGCGTTCGAGTGGTACAAGAAGGCGGCAGAGCAAGGCCACGCCGCGGCGGAGTACAACCTGGGGCTGTGCTACGAGCACGGGAAGGGCGTGGCGGAGGACAAGGTGGAAGCGGTGAAGTGGTACCTGAGGGCGGCAGAGAAAGGGTACCACCACGCGCAGAACAATCTAGGGCTGTGCTACGACTACGGGAGGGGGGTGGAAGTGGACAAAGCGCAGGCAGTGACGTGGTACAAATTGGCCGCCGAGCAGGGGCACGCCATAGCGCAGAACAATCTGGGTTACTGCTACGAGTACGGCGAAGGAACCGAGGCGGACGCGGCGGAGGCCGTGAAGTGGTACAGAATGGCGGCGGAGCAGGGGGAGAAGCACGCACAGAACAACCTGGGGAGATGCTACAGGTACGGACGAGGCATCGGTCAAAGTAAGCAAGAGGCGATTATGTGGTACAGGAAGGCTGCGGAGCAGGGGCATGCGTCGGCGCAAACGAACCTGGGGTACTTTTACGAGCACGGGGAAGGCGTGCCTCTATGTGTGTACGAGTCTGCGAGATGGTACAAGCTTGCGGCCGAGCAGGGAGAGAAACACGCCCAGTATTGCCTCGGGCTCTGCTATTTCCACGGCGTTGGGGTTCCAAAGCACCGCGCAGAAGCCGTGAAATGGTACAGGAAGGCGGCGCTGCAGGACGTCGCTTCCGCTCAAAACAATCTGGGGCAGTGCTACGAGCTGGGAGAGGGTGTCGGGCAGGATTTCTGTGAAGCCTTCCGCTGGTACCTTAGATCGGGCTGCAGAGGGGAGCTCCATGGGCAATATAATGTCGCCGAATGCTACTGGAAGGGACGGGGAGTGGAGCAGGACAAGGCCAAGGCCGCCACGTGGTACCGGAAGGCGGCGGATCAGAAGCTCGCCCCGGCAATGACGGCACTCGCCAAGTGCTACGAGTACGGGGAAGGTGTAGAGCAGGACGAAGGGGAGGCAGTCATCTGGTATCAGCGCGCTGCGGCGGAAGGAGACGCGGAAGCAGTAAACCGTCTCGCCTGAGCGACACCTTAGTCGTCCTCCTTTCTCCCCTCGCTTCGCCTCCCCGCGCACTCTTCCCTTTTCTTCCGTGTCGTCCTCATTGTTCGCCGCTGTCTGTCATTTTTGGCCACCTCTTAGTACGCTGCTCAACGGCTTCGTATCTTCTCCTCCGTTACGCTGCCAGCAGCTCAGATTGTGAGTCCCCTAGCAAAATGCAAGCCCTTACGGTAAGTTCCGTTCTCGGGACAACGTCTATAGCGTATGCATGGTTGACGTGAACCGGCGCAGGGGGGGGCAATCGAGGAGCGCAACCTGCATCCATATTGGGAGTGGTGAGCTATTTGTTGAGCTACTGCTTTTTTTGGAACTCGTGCAACTAGGACAGACTGGGAGGGCAAGCTATTTGCTGGCTGTAGCGGAAGATGTGCATCGGGTAGTCCGAGCCGACCGTCGATCGGTAACCGAACGGGGAGCTTTTTCTCTTGCCACATGTGCTTCTTCGTATGTTGAAGAAATCAAGCACTGCTTTGACGAATACCCGAATGTTCGATAGTCCGATAGATCATCGAGTACATTTCCCACTCCCCCGGCGCAACGCAGCGCAGGCGAGGAGATGCTAAAGGACGGTTAATCGAACGCACTAGCTTCATTCGGTGGAAGAATGTCCCCTCTCCGCCGAGCTCACGCGGCCTTGCGTACGTGCGTGTGTGCGTGCGTGCGTGCGTGCGTGTGTGTGTGTGTGTGTGCGTGCGTGCGTGTGTGTGTGTGTGTGTGTGTGTGTGTGTGTGTGTGTGTGTGTGTGTGTGTGTGTGTGTGGAGGGGGGGCGGCTCATTTGGAGACCTGAAGAGAAGCGAAAGAGACCGCTTCCCTTCTTTAGATTCCTGTAGGAAGCCTCTGCTGCCCATTGGATGCAAAGCATTGTCGGCCTCGCTACGAGATGGAGTTAAGGTAGTCAAGATAGCCGTCGTCCCTGGGTTACTCCGAGACGTTGGACGCATGCCAATGAAATAACATACGACCTGAGCACTGCCGTCTGAAGGGAAGGCTGCCCGACGTTGAGACACAGAGGCAGAGGGGCAGAATCTGTCGGTTATGGACTGACGCCGGCGCATACCTTCAGTAATCATTCGTTCTGCGAATCTGTACTTGTCCGTAAAACGTACAGGCACACACACACACTCTCTGCACAGGCCGCTTCCATTGTTGAGCAGTGTATAGCTACCATGACGACACACACACACACACGCACGCGCACACGCACACACACACACGCACGCGCACACGCACACACACACACACACACAGTACGGGGAGGGGCGCCGGCGGCTTGGGGAAGAAGGGCCGCTCTGTGTGTGTGTGTGTGTGTGTGTGTGTGTGTGTGTGTGTGTGTGTGTGTGTGTGTGTGTGTGAGAGAGAGAGAGAGAGAGAGAGNGTGTGTGTGTGTGTGTGTGTGTGTGTGTGTGTGTGTGTGAGAGAGAGAGAGAGAGAGAGAGAGGCCCTGATCTCGTCTTCTGACGTTGGCTTGCATGCCAACTGATCATCTTCCTTTTCGAAATAGCCGGTCGCCTGTGGGGCAGGCTTTACTTCTTTATATCTTGCTGGAAGCGAACATGTACTACGAGTTGGAGGACGCGTTCGATAGCGATGGAGATTCTGAAAATGAGCCGGAAGGATCCTCGCTCCTATCGTTAACTTGCCACTTTCTCTCTCGAATGTTGTGGCCCTTGGTTGCGGTCTTGTCATCAATACCGCACTCCTTTACATGAAAAAACTCTATTTTCAGGAGGCTCCTACGTGTCCCCCTCCCCTGCTCCGTTGGTTTCCCCGTTTTTCCTGTCCGTCATACGAAGGACACGTCGCGACTTCTATCTTCACCCTGTCCTGTCCCTTTTTGGCACCAAGTTCTTGTAGATTCCGGACTGCTAACTTGAAGGCCCTCGCTCGACTACTCACCACACGCACAAAAGACCAAAAAATATGGCACTGTATCTACCCTTGTCCTTGACGAAGATTCTTTCTCATTTTGCCCATTTGGTGAGTACTGGAGCGAGGCCCCAAGTCCGTTGCGTTCTCCACGGAGGAGTCCACGCGCTCCGCTTCCCGGGCGCGCGGCTCAAGGTCTCTCCATGTGTTCTTATCGGGTTGACACTCTGGACTCGTTTCTCATCGCTCAACGAGGTTACAGAGAGCTGTTCAAGGACTGACAGGTAGTTCGGTTTCTCTTCCTTCACCTCTCGCCTGTAGCCTTTCGGTAGTTCGGCTGCACAGCCTGCACTACTCTCCGCTCGCCGCACAGCTCTTGCCTGTAGTCTTTCATAGCCATAGGATTTCGTTATGTTTGAACTGGTTCATCAGACTGCGCAAGGTTCTTTCTTTCTTGCAGAATCAGGGGCTGGCAGTGGTACAGTGAAGCCGTAAGCTTTACGTGAACGATCTCCATGCTTATCCTCCTCCTCCTCCTCTGCACAAAGGCTTCGTCAGTCGCAACTCTCTTCCTTGCTTCGTCGGGGGCAAACGATGTCGTAGCGGCAACAGCAAGGAAAGGAAAAAGATAGCCAGCCACACGATGCACTCATTTCATGAAGGTCGTCACCTTCGTCGGCCGATCGCAGGTACGCGTTTGGTGTGCTCTCTCTCTCTCTCTCTCACACACACACACACACACACACACACAGAGCAGCCCCCCCCCTCTCTCTCTCTCTCTCTCTCTCTCTCTCTCTCTCTCTCTCTCTCTCTCTCTCTCTCTCTCTCTCTCTCTCTCTCNGAGAGAGAGAGAGAGAGAGAGATGTGTGTGTGTAGAGAGAGAGAGGTGTGTGTGTGTGTGTGTGTGTGTGTGTGTGTGTGTGTGTGTAGAGAGAGAGAGAGAGGTGGAACAAGGGGAGGAACGCTGACCTTTGCCAACGTACGCCGCAGACGTCCAAGGCGGTAATGGGGCGCAGTTGCTGACGGGTCGCAGTTGCTGAAGAATGCACTACACGGTGGATTGCAGCAGGGCCACGACATGGAGTGCAGCCCTTTTTTTTGCGCGACGGCCTGGAAAAGTATGGGGTTTGAATTCAAATTCTTAGTGCCTCCCTGCTGGAGGGCATCTCAGGAAGATGCATCCCCACAGAAGGGCAAATCGGACCGGCAGCAGGGGAATCTGTTAGGGGCATTCCGAAAAGTTGTGCTGCTCACTGACAGGGGCGTGCACGAACGCTAGAGACCCAGGGGCATATCAGGGTAAGTCGGCCGCCGGAGGGGGAAGTTGCAAATAAACCCAAGCTTCAGGGGCATTTCGAAAATTTCCATCTTCTTTTGTTCAGGCCTGCACTGAGCGCATACTCACATTAGGACTTCTGTACTTATTTCAGGATGCAGTTGCGACTAGATGCATCCCGTCCAGTCGTGATTGCAGGCAGATACATTTAAGGTGGTGCCACTGTGAGTATACCCTTTGTGTACTCCACAGTGGTAGTCTGCCCGCTTTGCCCTTCATAAGTTGGGGGTAAAACGGGGGCATCCATGCACTATTTAGTATTTTTCAAGTTATTATGGCGTACTGGCCAGTGCTACCAGGGGCCGTGACCCACTAGCGGCGGTTTAGTTTATGTATGTTTCGTGTATTTTCCAACGTGGTCACACAAGGGCCGTGAGATTTTCAGATCGGATGGCACGGGGCCATCTACACTCGAAACCAGAACAAAACGTTTACCTCGAGAAGTGGGACATGGCCCCAGGAACGAAGTGCATAAAATAAAAGAAAAAGCTGTTAAATTGAAATTASAATACAAAGATACAAATTTTATTTACAGTCTAGTCACTCTAGCAAATTGAACTCAAAGTTGATGTAAAAAAAATGGCAGGAAAATTATTATATGAAGCTTTAAATGAAGGTATTCATTCATGAAGAGATAAAAAAAGAGATCCTAAAGTTTTTGTAATAGGTGAAGATATTGGTCATTATGGAGCTGAAATCTGCCAGGTCAGAATTTCCAGCCAGGCGTAAAGAAATTCCTTGGCAAAAGAGTAGGGGGTCTCCTGCTACCAACCTGAGGAAGGAGTATCCAGGCCCGAAATGGGCTCTGCTTGGGCCCCATCAGTTGCCCCCCTTCCTGAGTATTGTGGCCTGCGAAAAGAAAAAAGAAGCCTATTCCCCTTATGAATTCGCCAAAGCGGGACAGTTACTGTGAAGTACAAGCCTTATACAGGATAAAAAGAAAGTAAACTTGGGAAATCTGGTCGTGATAGAAATTTGCCAGTTTCCGAGTTTTGGACCCGGCGAGCCCTGTTGCCAGAGGGTTGGATGCTTGAACCCTTTGACTTCTTTTTTTTGGCGGGGGGAGAGATTCAAGTTGTTGAGAAATGGAAAAACATAGAACCCCTCTCTCTCGACCGGTCCTCCGAACTGCGTCCACTAATACAACCGACCAGTCTATCCTGTGATTGGCTGTGCGCCTTGAAGCATGAAAAAGTGAACGGAAGGTTAGTTGAGGCGCACCCAGGTGACCCAGCTGGGAGTTTCTCTGTGTGGGCTGTCTCTTATACACATCTAGATGTGTATAAGAGACAGGTCTGTCTGTGCGTGTGTGTCTGACTTTTCGAAGGAGCGCGATCCAGTTTCGGACATGCTCCCGGCCGTGCGTGCAACAGGTAAGCAATCGCAAATTGTTTCCTTTTTTAGTATTTTGAAAGAAATTTGCCACTTTTTACCCGTATGCCCCGCGCATGCCGACCGCCTGCGCGACACACACAGGACACGAGCGGCGCTGCTCGCAGGACCGACGACGGGCTTGGCCCCCGGTCTCCCTGTCGCCAAACCCGAATCGCGTTTCTTCTGACGGCTCGTGCGATTGTCTTCTCGCCCGCCCGGCCAACATCGTGGCCCGTCCACGCAGGATGCGCGAGCTGTTGTGTTTTTTGTTTCTGTAGCAGAAGGGCAAAAGCCCTGAAATCGTGGTGAGATCGATAATCTGGAAAGTCGTTGAGAGCTCGACGAATGCTGAACCTACCTACCGGTAGTGGCTGGACGATACGCCTATCATGTGTTCCAGGCTATCCCCTTCCCGGAAAATCACAAGGCTGTTTGGTGCTCACTCTAGTCCTGGGAAATCTTGTGCAGCGGTCAGGGTGGTTCACTGGTTCGTGGAATCGTGGGACTTCAGGGGAGCCCAAGCTCAGCCGTTCTCTCTTTCCCACTGGTGACAATCGTAGCCCCTCGATTTTTGCTCCTGAATAATCGTCGAGGCTGAAGTCCGTTTGTTGGCGTCTCCTCCTCAGGGCACACAAGCATTCCTCTGGATGAACTTTTTTTTTCTTTTTTTTCCTCCCCCTCCTCCTCAGGGCACACAAGCATTCCTCTGGATGAACCTGACCTTAATCACGTGTGAGTAAGCTCACGAGCTTCGAGGAATTCGTCAGCCTTCGTCCGGGCCTTCGCTGAAAACGATGTCTGACTTCTATTTGGTGTCTGGTTCATTGGTGGAAAAGTCCGACAAGTCCTTCTGGACATCCGTTAAAATTGGAACGATACAGAGAAGATTAGCATGGCCCCTGCGCATGGATGACACGCATAAATCGGAAAAGTCCGACAACAAACGATCCGCTTGGCTACCGTACTACCGCGACTCATCGAACTTAGCTAATGGATTTCTCTCTCTCTCTCTCTCTCTCTCTCTCTCTCTCTCTCTCTCTCTCTCTCTCTGAGTTTTGGTAGGCTAGTTTTAGAATTCCAGTTGAACATTGCTTGCCTTCCTTTTCTGTAGGCGTTATGTTTTCGTTCTCTTTTGGTGCTCGCCATCTCCATCCACGCCGGGGCCCGCCGGGCGTACTCACATTATATACACATGCCAGGCGGAAAGGGGAACGGTGTGGCAGACAGGCACCCAATCAGGCTTTTTACTGTAGGACAAGCTGGTTCACTCCTCTTTCGGCTCCTTTGGTTACTTGGACCGTCACGGCGTCAGCCGTATGCCATTCTTGACGTTGCTTTGCTTTTATTGCCTCCCGTTTCACGAACAAGTCAAGTGAGGGGCCTGTGCCGCTATTGATAGACGGCGTATGTGGCCCCTCTATTGGTTATTTCGGGTGTTGTACGGTCGCACGTGCCCAGATCTTTCCTTTGCCCAGCTTTTCTTTCGCACTAAGATCGATTTTGTTTTCCTGTCATTTTCTGGAATATTCGACATGAGCCATCATATGTACAGTCATGCTATATCAGTGTCATGGTTATAAGGCAAGCAGGCTTCGTACCCCTAATTTTCTGCTTTTGGTCTGCGAAGCTCCCCTGGAGGAGGACCTCCCTGTATGTATCTGATGGCAGTTATGCCCAGAGCTGAATTGAAAAAGTCCTAGTGAGAGTATGCCCTCACTTGGAATCGGTGACCAGTGCCGTGCCCAGGAGGGTGGGGTCATTGGAGGGTACCGCCCCATAATCTTTTTCATATTTTGTAATTAAACGAAAACAAATCACAGAACCAGCCAGACTAAGCAGTATCGTGTTGGTACCACCAGAGGCTACCGAACCGGCCGCTACGCCGGTAACGCAAACATAGAGCGCTATTCCAGCGCCAACCGCCGCGTCCCCGTTTCAGACCTGAAGGAAGTGGGTCCGGCTCGGCATTTTTGTTTGTTGTTTTGTAGGTTATTTCGATTTTTTTTAATTTTTTTTTAATGACATCACGATGTGGGGCTTGTGGCGACGATAGCGGGGTGAGCCGGGGGAAAAAGAAAAAAAAAACACTGCGCTTTCATGGTTTGGCTGGTTACCAACTTACCATGAACCGCAGTTCACGGGTGTAGGGGCATATGACCGGCACCGCCCGATGCCGGTAACGTGATGCCACTGTAGGTGACTCTTTCTTTGGACATAAGTTTAGGTGATCCACCTCGAAACCGAGGCACTTGATTTTTTTTTGGAATTCTTTACGAAATGTCCCTGAAGTTTGCATTTATCTGCGATTTGCCCCTCCGACGGCTGACTTACCCTGATTTGCCCCTCTGACAGTGATTCAAGCTTCCATAAAACCCCTGGCGTCGTTTGGGCCTGAGACATTTTCAATATGCCACTATCGGCACCTGTGCCGAATTTCCAGTTTGCCCCTACCGGATAGCTGCTCAGTACCGGCACAAGAATTTTCCATATGCCCCTACCAGTACCGTGCATCTCTTAAGTATGCCCTTCTGGCTGTTGCTGGCAGTTGGGGCTGTTGCCCTGGCCCTGGGATGGGGTGCTACCAGGGCACTTTTTTTTTTCTTTTTTTTTGTGTGCGTGTGTGCGTGTGTGTGTGTGTGTGTGTGTGTGTGTGTGTGTGAGAGAGAGAGAGAGAGAGAGAGAGAGAGAGAGA